CGTTCCTCCACAACATAGCGATGCAGGGATGAGGCAGAGCGACTGCACCAGAAGTTAGGGATGAAGGAAGGAAGGAAGGAAGGAAGGAAGCTAAGCGGTGAGCTCTTGACGAGAAGGAAGAACATTCAAACCCAGAAGGTACCTGGCAACCTGAGGGAGTGAGCGGACTTTTGCAGCAGTTTCAAAGTCAGTGGAAATCCAGGTTCTGAATAGTCAGCTATTAACATTTGGGAAGACGGGACTAGAACCAAGGGCACAGCCTCCTCGGCCGCCCGCTTAAGGAGACACGGAGTCCACGTCATGTTACTCTGCGCCATCTAGCAAAGTACGTCTGGAACTGGAGGGGACTTTCAGAAGCTGTTTGATCCAGCCAGCACAGGCCGCTGCTCCGAGGAGCGAATGCCCACAGTGCACACAGGCAGTGCCTGAGTACGCTGGAGACTCCTGTAGGCACTCCAGAATCCCATCCTCGCAGTGGAACCCTGCCTACTCAGAAGAAGTTCCCACTGAGTTCTACGGGGCTTCTTGCTTAATGTCATAGAATCACAGAATAGCAGAGCTGGAAGGGGCCATGAAGGCCATGGGGTCCAACTCCCTGCTCTTGCAGGACACCACGTCACACCACCCCACTCAGGGCGCTGTCCAATTTCTGGTAGAGCCCACTACTGCTCCAGGCAGCTGGTTCCACTCTCATATTGTGCTGACAGTGAGGAAGCCTTTCCTGATGTCCAGCCTGAATCTGGGTTGCTGCAACTTGACTTGATTATTCCGCATCCTACATTCTGGCATCAGCAAGAAGAGATCTCAACCCTCCTCTTTGTGACAAGCTTTGAGGTACTTATAGAGGGATATCGTGTCCCCCCTCAGTCTTCTCTTCTCAAGGCTGAATATGCCCAGTTCCCTCAGTCCCTCCACATAGGGCACTGTTTCCAAACCCCAGATCATTTTTGTCACCCTCCGTTGGACGCTTTCTAATTACCTGCCTCTTTCTTAAATCTTGGTGCCCAGAACTGGACACAGTATTCCAGGTGAGGTCTGACTGTATAGAGGAACTGCTACTTCTCGTGATTTGGAAGTAATACTTCTGTTAATGCAACCCAAAATAGCATTTGCCCTTTTGGCGGCTGCATCACATTGTTGGCTTGTGTTTGCAATGTGTACTATTACAATGCATACTAGTGCAGCCTAGATCGTCTGCAGAGCTAGCAACACTAAGGTTCAGATTCCAGTGCTTCCGTTTTTTTAAGAGATTCAAATTCAAGGGCAGACATCAATTGGAATGTTGTAGAAATGAAAAGCAGGAGAATATCACATTTCCTCCGCTGCGCCTCTTGGTCCCATCCTTTCTTCCATGGCTCCTCCGAGGAAGCGGCTTGAGTTCTTCCACAGCTTTGCATTTCAAGCTCCTGCTGGAAAAGTGTTTGCATCCCTGTCTCAGCAATTCGACAGAGCCAGGAAATGGATAGTGTGCCATCTGCTGGCAGCCGAGCATATTCCACTTGGATCCCCTAAAGTTCTTCAGAACTGCAGGGCAGGTGGATCGAGCCCTTCCCAAGGATGAACATATTCAGATACATGAGCAGCTGAAAGAGGAGCTGGTGGCCGGTGGAATGCTCTCTCCCTCTCCCTCTCCCTCTCTCTTCACTTACTTTTTATAGTAAATTAAAAAGAAAAAAGAAAACCCCCAAACCAACCAATATAGGAAAAGGGGGGGGGGCGGGATAAAATTAAAATGAGATACTGTAATTTTCTATATGATTATTCATTTCTATACCACCCCAAGGCCACAGCTCTTTGGTTGGTTTACAGCCGTGCATAAAATCAATACATTAAAAGTAAATATGAATGGACATACCTGGCATTCATATATATATCACATATGGCAAAATACACTGGTATTGTTGAAGACAGTTATGCATCGATTTCAACAACGGCAGCCCAAATACTCATGTATTTGTCCCTCCATCAGTTCTTCCTGAAATTCTTCTACCTGTTTGAAAACGAAGCATCTCACCAAGTCCCACCCCGTTGTCTCATCGCAGGAAGCCATTTATCTATCCAAGGTTGCATCAGCAGAAAATCCATTTCTGTGACCTTTCATTAAGTTCCGAGAGGCAGGCAAATAGTTAAGAACATGTGTATCCATAAATATTAAAGACTTTTCCATCACAAAATTTATCCAAATTGCCACCTCCTCTCAGACAGAAGCAGCCATTGGTCACTGCCAAAACATACGGATGGGAGACACATTTGCTGAACACTTGGCCGATTAAATTAAGCCCTTATTGAAGAGACATTGTGGTGTCCAATATACTTCCAACGTCAATTTCTGTTGAATTAAACAGCACCCAATGTGCGTTGGCCTTTCTGTAATAGATGCCACTGAAGTCCCCCGTCGATGGGGCAAAACAGCACACAGCAATTCATTATTTCGTTCTTGCTTAAGATCCTGCGAGGCACATTTGTGCACTGATAACAGGCATCTATAAACATGGATTGGGGGCAGGTGCGGCTGCTCAGCCTCAGTCAATATTTCCAGAAAACGAAAAGGGCCCCAAAGCTGTAAAAAGGGCAGGCTGGTCCAAGGCACCAATCCTAGGGTCACACGGTTGGAAGTGCCTGGGAGGCCACCGGGTCCGACACCTTGATCAGCGCAGGACCCACGCCTCCCATCCGAACACTAACCCGGTCTAACCCTGCTTCACTTCTGAGACGAGGCAGGATCGGCTTGGTTCTGCGCATTGCCCACTTCGCTATTCAGCTATGCCCGGAAAATCATATTTAGTATGCAAACCAGAGAAAGGCCCAGGAGCTACAAACTGACCAGAAGTGAAAACCGGCCCGTCCATGAAACAAACATTCTCTCGCCAGTCTTCCCATCTGAGGCATGCAGCTAACCTGCGTGTATTGAGAATGTTTCACTGAACCAAGTCCTGCATTTAACAGCTGCCACGAAATGACTTGTTGCATTTGTCTGAAACTTGGACCGTGTACATTGTTCCAAGCGGCAGCTTTATAACCGATTGTAAATCACCCTGAGCACAACCGCCGCTTTGATTGCCCGGAGACTCGCTGGCCCGTCTTTGGCAAGCCGCGCTTTCATGCTTACCTCCCCATCTGTTAAATGGGCACGATAACAAGCAACCGACCACTCTGAGATGCCCCCACGTATGACTAAGAAAATGCACTGGATTCTTTTTCTATCGCTCAGGTACCTGCCAGGAGAAATCGTAATGGCTTTGTGCCGGAGTGCGGACTCTGTGATGTAGCTCTCAGCAATCTCATATGAAAGATTTTTTCCCTGAGTGATAAGCAGAGAGGGCAAGTTCTTCATGGCACGACCTTTCTGTTGAAACAAAAAGATTTGGGAGGTGCCTTCAGCTGGGAGTGCCTGTCAGCCTGGCAGATAGCAAATGATGTTTCTTCAAGATTGTGTGACTGAAAGGGCAGAAGGGAGAGTTGACGGAGAGCGGATTCCACCGGCAAAGCCCGCTTCACCTCCTTTCTGAAGATTGATTGTCCAACACTGAAGCGAACGACTAGAGCAAGAAATTGTGCACACACAGAATATTAAAGGTGCGAACAGGCATGCTTCATAATACTGAGAAATTATTTCTTTCACTTTACTTTTATGCCGCCCCATAACCAGAAGTTCTCTGGGCAGCTTACGAAATGCTAAACCGGCGGCCAAGCCCCGAGGGAGCCGGACTCTGAGGGAGGGAGGGAGGGGTGGCAGGCGAGGCGCCGGAAGGGGCCCCCGCAGAGCGCCCACTGTGCGCACCGGCAGCGGTCCCATTCTCCTTCCCCGCTGCATCTCCAGGTGCCGCCTGGAGTGGAGCCCCCACGCTGGACCCTGCAGAGCCACTGCTGCGGATCCCCATGGACGGCTGGGCTGGACCAGGCATCCCACCCACCGCTCCTGCTGCCGAGCCGTGCGGACGGGGCAGCCCGCCTCCCTCTGGCCGTGCCAGGCCGGCAGATCCGCGGGTGGCCCGGCGCTCTCTCCCCCGCCCGGCCTCCTCCCCGCCGGCAGCCGCAGGGACGTGGGTCGGCAGCAGTCACTCGGCAGGAAGGCTGAGGCTGGGACAGGCCATGCCTGCCGCTGCCTCTGTGGAAACGGCCTCACAGGAACCAAGCTGCTCCGAGGGAAGCCGGGTGTCGCTCGGGTGCCAAGAGCATCCTCACGCCTGGTGTCAGGGGACTCTGGCTGGGGAGGGAAGGCTTCCCGAAGGTTTCCCCCGGCACCGTCGCTGCTGAACTCTTCTGAAATTGTGCTTCAAATCCTTGTTGCCATTCTCCACTTTTAAAAACCGTACTTCGCTGTATGCTTTGTCTTTACTATGGAAGTCGCCCTGAGAGCATCAGCTACAGAGGGACTAAATGCATAAAATAAGCAAGGCCCATGTGCCTGGGGAAGGCCAGCTGGGCGCAAACCCTGTGCCACATCTCCTAGGAGTCAGCCTGGCTGCAGCTCCTCTTGCGAAGCATCTCCGTCACGCTAGGAACGGACTGAGCGCCGACAGAGCCGCACCTTGCGGCAGGATGGCTGGATGCAAGCAGGGAGGGGCGGGGGACCGCCGGCGGGGTTCACGCTCAGAATGCGGCACCTCCGATGTCACCAAGGTCCTGGGACTTTAAGCTGCACCTAGAGCCAGATAACTGTGCGACTAGGCAACTGCATCCAGCAAAGCTTTGGGTTTGTTTCGCGAGCGGAGGGCCTTCCCCCGCCCGCCCGCCCGCCCGGTGCCGCAGGGCAAAGCACTCCAAAGGGGAGGTCTTGCCAAGGCGATTTCGACCAGGGCGCAAGGGGCTGCAATTCAAAGGGGGCCCACACTCGATCCGTCCCGTGCACACCCTTAACAGTAAGTGCTTTGGGCCTTAATCGAGGTGCCCGAGGACCAGACGCCGCTCCCCAGGCGCCTGCGCCCATTTCTGCCTGAAGGTGCTGAGCTGGGAAAACGACACCAGAAAAACAACAGAAGGCGAGGAAGATGCAACGCTTTTTCAGCCAGGTTAGCTTTATTCTGTAACAAAAGAGAGCGCCGATGCCCAAACTAAAACAGCTCTTGAAGTACGAAAGGAACTCTGGCCTCTTAAGCCAAACAGCTGTCAAAGGATAAAGGCACTAGCCCACATCTCAACGCTGGAAGCCCGTCGTATTGGGTATGGGATGCAGTCATGGTTCAGGAAGCACAGGAACAGAAAGGAGCAGCTGCTTTAGCTGCTAAGGAACTGAAAATGCAGGAAGATTCCATTGTGTCTTGTGCTGCAGCTAGAGAATAAGGTGCGAGATCAACTGGCGGGCTTCTCGTTTTCACCGTTTTCCACTAATTTTCTTTTCTTTTCGTCCATTTTCCTTTTGAAGATGCTATTCCTGTAGAACCGGAGCTCTTTGATACTCTCCCGTATGTCATCAAGGGCTCTAAAGAGAATTTGGAAGCGGCTCACGCATTTTTACCAAGAAAATCCCTCCCGCCCTGGGCTCTCTGGACCAACAGAGGCTCATTTGAAAGAGGCTGAACGTGGCTGCATGAGTCACACCCCAAGGCTGCAAGCAGCTTGTGCCGCTCCGCACACCCCACTCCAGGGCTAAAGGTTCGTGGCTTCGAGCCTTAGCTGTGAAAATGTTCCATCATGCCCCGTGTTCTGGCCATTCCTCAACATGCGGATGTTCGCAGGCATCTGCTCCCCAACAGACCAGTCAGCGCCTCCCTTCCTGACCTGGCCAGCCACACGGACTTTCCCAAAGGGATCCCATTCCCCCTTTCACCCCACACAGCAAATTTACTGCTATTTGCGACCCTGTGCAATAGCTGATGTGCAGCCGGAGCATTATTCTGAAAACAACCAGCCCCAAACCAACACAACAATTAGAGAGAAGCGAGTGAGACGCGGCTCAAGATGTCAAAGGACACGCAGAAGCCATGAGAGAAGCCACAAAAATGCAGGCGATGTTCTTGTGGCTTTGGGCCTCTAGAAGTTATTTCTGGGAGTGGAGTGGAGAGGAGACAGTGCCTCTAGGGCTCCCTGCAAAACGCACTATTAATTTGCGGAAGTCTACGCATCAACATCGGCAAAAGCACATGCAAGGACAGGAGATGCAAACGGTTCTCATCGGTACGAAGGACGGCAAACCCAGACGACATTTTTCTGGGAAAGCACGGTGTTTGGCGGACACGAAGTGATGCCTCCAGAGGCCGGGTCAGGCGCTGCTGCGACATCGCCTGACCCGGCTCACGGGGGCGGGCCTTTCGCAGCCCTGTCCGAAGACGGCGGGGACGCGATCCAGGACTGTGAGTGCGCAAAAGACGCGCTCTGCCACTCAGCTGCCTCCCCGAGTCGCTCGGGGCATGGCCTCCTCTCCCTCGGAAGGGCAGACTCGGATCAGCGCCAGTGGTCCTTTATTCCCTCACTGACAACAACGCATTTGCCAAACTACCAGGTAACGGTTAGCGCCTGGATACGAAAACTTGCGGGAAAGCCGCCACGCTCGCCGTCGAAATGAGAAGCGACTGCACCTCGGCTAAGTCTTGCTATATTAACTCAGCGAGGCCGAGCGCCTCACGGTACCGACGGTGGCAAAAGAGTGACACACGGTGCCTCGGCGGGAAGGCCCTGCTCTGCGCTGGGCCACCAGGAGCCCCCCCCGCCCCGTGCCAACGGGGCCACTGCCGCCTGCTCCTACAAGGCCAGTGCCTACCTGGGAGCAGGAGGGCTGTTATGCCCGGCTCAGAGCCGAGCACGATGGCTGAAAGAAAACACGTCCGTGACCCAAGTCCTGGCAAAGGGCCTTGTACGCCAGAGTTTCAAAAGCCAACCATGCACTGGTCTTACCTATGCGAAGCAGCCTTCTTCGGAGCGAACTGGTAGTCCTCTGGATACCAGCGCCTGCAGACACACGGCAGCTTTCAACTCCGATGCGCTAATCACCAAATACGCTGGTACGCCATGGACAGGAATTCCAGAGGGGCAGGGGTCTGGGAATGCCACCCGTTTTTAGGGGTCTAGGGATGCCACAGCCCCCCCCCGCCTGCTCCGCTCACCCACCCTCCCGAAGTCCCCATTCTCCCCACCACCCCCGCCAAGGGACCGGGCCAGCGCGGCGCTGCGGCCAACCTGCACAACTCCTTGACGGTGCTGACATCGATGATCCGGTAGTGCAGGTGCTTCATGAACTGTGGCATATGCTTGTCAAGAAACTTCTTGTCTGCGTGAACCGAGTTGCCTACAAAGGAAGCAAAGCACAGTTCTGTCGGGGGGGAGCGGGGGTGCCGCCTGGAGGAGGGAGGGGCGGGGGTGCTTCCCCGGCCACAGCGGGACTCGCACAGAGCAAGCAAATCCGTGGAACTGAAGAAAAGCCGCCTGGGAAGCAGGGGAACGTCTAACCTGCGAGAGGACAGAGGCCCGGCGGTGTCTGCTGGCGGACAAACGACAGGAATTCATACTCCGCTTGGCGCAGGGAGATCGTGCTCTCCCTCACGGCCTTGGTAAGGCCAGACTGCAAGAAGAACACGAAAAAGATTCGTTTTTGCTGCTGCTCGTCAAGAGAGCAAAGACGCGATTCCGTGCCCTCAGGGACCAAAACACAGTCGGAGCTAGGACTCTGCTCTCAAAGCACCCTCCCAGCTGGCACAGGAAAAGGGCACCGTGGCTGCCACTCCCAGGCTGCAAGAGCAAGCGCGGAGACGGAGGTCTGCGGGCAGGTTTATGCCGAGCCTGCGAATACATGAAGTCCTAAGGCTCCTGAACCCGTCCTCCTCACACGCCAAGGAAAAGCACCGCAAGAGCTGAGGTCGGCCGTCCAAGTCTTCTGGGGAACGCAAAGGCGGCCATTACGATGCCCAGACTCCTTGGAGCTCGGCCGGTTACAGGCAGCCTTATAGTGCGGCAATCAACACCCAGGCCATCGGAGGCCTCCCCCAGGGCGCTCGTGGCTTCTGCTGCTAAAAACGCGCCCACGTACTGGGGTGGGGGGCAGGGGGGGCCGGGGGCAACTGAACAGGGGATGTGTACAATGAATGCACAGAGGCGGCGGCAAAGAGATGCCGGGCGGCTTGTCTTGACTAAGGAACCGGGGCTCCGAAAACCTCCGTGCCTCGCAATTGTGCCTGGACACCACCTCCTCCGCTGATGCAGAGTCTACTCCCCCTTCAAAGCTCTCTGAGCTACTGATCAACATTTCGCCTTTTGAACCAGGTTCATGTGGCTTAAGTGCAAATGAATCACAGAATCAAAGAACAGGAGAGTTGGGATGGGCTATAGGGTCCAACCTCCAGCTCAGAGCAGGATTCCCAATGAAACCATCCCCTCAGTCCAGCTGCCTCTGGGATGCCTCCGGTGTGGGAGCGCCCGCCACCTCCCTAGGTCATTGGTCCTGTTGCTGCACTGGGATTTTTCCCGATGTCCAGCCAGCACCTGGCTTCCTGTAACGTGAGCCCGTCATTCCGTGTCCTGTACCCTGGGATGACCAAGAAAAGGTCCTGGCCTCCTTCTTTGTGACAGCCTTTCGAGGACTTGGAGAGTGACATGCAACTGTCAAGACACCCACAAAACATCTTAAGGACTTGCAAGATGCCAAAAACCTCCAGAGCCTTTTACCTTCCCGTGATGCTCTTTGCACCATTCTGACATGCTGTCCAGCAGCTCATCTGGCTGGTTTATGATCAGGTTAGGACCCTGCCAACCAATGGGAGGAAAAATGAGAAAAGGGACCAATCCCTTCCATCGCATGCATTCGTAAAGTAGCAGTGTGAGCACAGCTGAGTTGGCGAAGCCTCCGCTTTGCAGAGAGGACACCAGGTCCGATTCCTGGCAGCTTCTCCAGGCAGGGGAGAAAAAGCTCTGCAGAGCTACTGCCTCGTTAGGCAGGACTGACAAGACCAGGCTAGATAATCCTGGCTCAGTCAATTCAGCATCCAATGTTCTTAAGTAAGGGAACATTACTTCTTTTCATGCACTTAAACTGTCTTTTATGTGAGAACATCAGAAAAGCCCTACCAAAGCAGACCAAAGTCCTGGGTTCTGAGTTCCACGGCAGCCATCCAGACAGCAATGATTATTACAGTCCATTTGCCTGGCCAGATTATTAACTCTTTATGGTTTATATAGTGTTTGATATTTAAAAAATCTCAAGAGAATGATGAGTACAGAAGTAAAGACGGAAAAGGGTAAAAGGGGAGAAGAACACAAATGTATTTCAAGTACATATGTTAAAACATGGGTAGAATAGGGAGAGGGAACAAAGAAGCTGTGCCAAAGAAGTCAGGGGTTTAGAAATGGATGTGAGGGCATTTCAGGACCACTGAGTACAAAGATGTACCTGCCTTCCCCAGCTCACAAGGAAGAGAGGCTGAGGCACCTAAATTCCCCAGAACTGTGGTGCCCTGCTCCCTCCTGCCCACCCCTGATACACACAGGATCCAGAGGTGGACCAATGGAAGAACGGTGCAGGCTTTGAGGTCAAAGTCGCAGCTCCAACCTCTGAAGCTTTTTCCGGGGTTGCATCTGGGACTCCAGCCCAGCCCATGGGCCTCCAGACAATGCCAGGAGTCCCAAAGATTTCACCCTAAATGGCAGGAGCACATCTAGACAACAGGAAGCACCTGTAATTCAAACGGCTTTCAAGTTCCAGAGTCAAGCTGGGATTCATGTCCCAGGCTGAAAACATCTGGAAGCTGCCGTGTAAACAAGGGCTTTCCATCAGCCCGCTGCCTATGAAGAATGCCGTGTCAAGTCGTTCCCAGCCGGCCGGCCCCTCACAGAAGTGAGTCAAGCAAATCACACAGCCAGCATTTAGCTGGTGCTAAAGCAGTGCAAAACCACAACCTACTTCAGCCAAGATGTTCAAGTCTGAATCTGTGATGAGGCAGGCCATTTCGATGATCTGGTCCTTCTCAATGTCCAGTCCAGTCATCTGTAACAAAGGAAAAATTAGATGCATCAGATGTCACAGAAAGCTGTTATTGTTCCACTTGTGTGCTAGCAAAACTACATTTGAATCCCTGCGCAAGGCTAACTCTCTCCATCTTGTATGCTAAACTGGCGTCGGGCGCGGACCCCGGGGCGGCGGGGCTCGGCATCCCCACGCCACGGGCGGCCTCGCCCGCTGCGTCCCCCGCGGCTCGCCCGCCCCAGACGCCGCAGCCTGGCCCGGGGCGCCCCCCGGCTGCGCGGGACGGGCCGCCGCGGGATGCAAGGCCCGCTTCGCGCTGCGCGGCCCTGGGAGCGATGACGGGCGCACGGCGGCGGGGACCTGGGGGGGCGGGCGGTGCAGCCGGGCGCCCGCGGGCGCACAGCCCCCGGGGCGATTCAGGGGCGGGCGCCCCGCCCCAGGGGCCCCTTGAGCGCGAGATGCTACTCGGCGAGGCGCCCCGGCGCGCGCGCGCCCGAGCAGCCCCCCCGCGTGCCGGCAGCGGCGAGCGCGTCCTGCCGGCCGGGCGCTCACCTCCAGGTCCACCCAGACCATGCGCTGCCCCATGCCCTCCACCTCGGCCATGGCTGGCCCCCCGCTCCGGCCCCGGTGGCAGCTTCCCGCCGGCGCGCCCAACAGCCGCAGGCCTCGCCAAGCCCTTCCGCAGGCGCCGCGCATCTTCGCGGGGCCACCGAAGGCGCGCCGCGGACTGCAACTCCCGGCGGGCCCCGCGCCGCGCCCGCCCGCTCACTCGCGGCGGAGCCGCGGCCGCGCGGGCTGCCGGGAGATGGAGTCCGGCGCTCTGGGCGGGGTCCCGCGGCTCCGCGGCGCCTGCTGGGAGATGTAGTCACATGGGGCGGGGAGCGCGTCCCGGGCTTGCGCGGCTGCGGGAAGCCAAACCTCGGAGTCCTGCCGGGGCTTCCGTGGGAGGGCGGACTACAACTCCCAGGATGCTCCAGGCAGCTCAACATCGCAGGAAGCTATAGCTGCGGCGTTGCCGGCAGAGGCATGCCGGGAGTTGTAGGCCTTTCCTCCACTGACATTTGCCTAGCTTCTCACCTTAACATGCCCCGCTGGAGATCCGCTTTACAAAGCGAGACTTGTATGCAAAAGCGCCAAAATCCAAAACCAGCTCATGTGCACCGGGTGCTGCTCCAAGGGCAAGGGCAAAGCAAAAGCAAGAATAATGGAAAGTGCCTTACATGCACCCTGTGCTGTGCAAAATATAACTCAAGTACAGACTCGGAACAATGCAAGCCGCGGTCTGAGGCGCAATATCTTGAAAGACTATAAAGGAGGCTGGAATAAAAGCTCCGCCCAAAAGCGGGCCGAGAAAGTGTGTTTAAAAAGATTAAAATAGGCTGGCTAAAAACAGTGCAGTGGCTGCCCGAACAGTTTTCCTTAAAAAACCAGTGCCCTGCCTTCCCATTTTCCATTTCTGATGTCAGTGCTTTAGCCAGCAAGTTAAGGCCTACATAAAGTCCTACATAAACTTCCAACTTCATAGGAAAGTGAGTCCCGCTAGGCTGAGACTTGCATCCGAGTACAAATACATCGGCCCTGTTCCTTAGACCCTGCATTGACTGCACACTGAACTTGAGCGCTTAAAACATACGTTGTTGAACCAAGGAACCAAAGATGTCGGAGGTGCAAACAGGTGTGCAGAAAAACCGCAAGGAAGGGGGCATCTCGGAGCTCCCTCTTGTGGCAGGGGTATCTCAGATGCCTATTAGGCTGGCGGCTAATGTCCAGCTTGGGGGGAGGATCAAAAAAACTACACTTCCCATGATGGTTTAGAGCCCTACAGGGTGCCTGGGAAGGGCAGAAAGAATGAGCTGGGCAAAGAGACCTCCAGGAAGTGGGCATCTGGACATTCCTATGGCGGCAGGTGTATCTTAGCCCCCTTATTAGGGTTCGGGCTAAGGGTTGGCAAAATTACGCCACCCGTGAAGTTGCAACAGGGATTTCCGTAAGGTCTGCTTCCTGGAGATTTTTCTGCACAGCTTATTCTGACCTTTCTCGGAACCGTGCCGGCCTGTACACTTTCACGGGAAGCTTAGCTTCTCTAACCCTCTCAGCTTTCCATTTTCCTGTATTCATCTATAGTTCAACTGCTAAGGTATTGCAGCCCATTAGTATTGGCAGTGTTCATGGCCAGGCTAGCATAAAGGCTAGTAAATCCCGTTCTGCTAAAGCTCCCAATGCTTGTAAGCCGCTCAGCAAGGGCAAAAAGGATGAGCCGTGCAGAGAAATCTGCAGAAAGTGGGTGTTTTGGAAGCCCCTATTGCAACAGCTTTATAACAGCCCCTGTATTAGGGTTACTGTCAAGGCCCAGTTTAGGAATAAGGCTAGGTAAATTTTACCCTGTTCTTTCAGGTTGTCCTAGGACGTGAAATTTTCCTATAGGAAGAAATACAACTGGATCGTTTAGAATGAAATCACCAGTTGCAGTTTTATGCCTTAGCAACTTTACATGTACACAAGAGTGTTTTAAAACAACACATTTATTGTAGTGAAAATATATTTGCACACAACCGAAGTGCATTTTTAATACTCTCAGTATTGCTTGGGAAACTTAGAATTATATAATTGTTTTATACGTGTGTTTTTTCTGAACAATGTCATAAATATAAAACTAAGTCAATGAGATATTTAACAGAGTTATTTTTTTTATACTGGCATAATTTTGACAAAATACTATGAACAGCTTTTGAAAACAACCCCTTCAGGCAAGGTCATAAGCTATTGTGCAAAAGGACAGCTAGAACTCAAGTGGCTGTGATGAACCTGGGCAAGAATGAAAAGATCTGCGTGCGGATTATGGAAGATATGCCAGAAAAAGCAGACTGATCCTTTTACAGTGGCTGCTATTACAGTCATTTTTGTTTCTGCCAAATTGTAATGCAGAAGGGCAGAATATTTCTGTTCACTACACAGCACAGCGTGAAGCTGAAGAGCAAATTTACCAAAAGCAGGAAGGGGAGACTTCATCATACTCAGTGCAGACCCACTGAAATCAATAGGACTTAAATTTATCGTGACTTTGCTATGGCCCAGGTATGGCCACTGGATGGAAGCCCAGCTACAAGCGCCAGTTGCTCCTGACATCACTCGTGTTCAACCGGAGTGCTGGCAACCTACATGGGAATCATCTGAAACAAATGGCCGACATAGTTTAAAAAGAGGAACCCAAGGTTCCCACCTGAAGCATGGCTTGCAGAAAATGCCAGTGTTCACAAGTGCAGCTATACCCACTGATGGCGACTTTAAATGCACACATTCCAGGAGGAGGAAGGACAGCACAAAGCCCTTCCACACCTACCGAAATATTCATCTCAGTCCTTTAGTTAAGGTTTTAGATTTAGTCTGAAAGCAAATGGTCGTGTTTCCAATCAAACGGCTGCCTTCTGCTAATATTCTAAAAATTTCACAATAGCAAATTTTCAAATATTTAAAGATTTAGATTTCTAGATTTACCACCTAAACCGTTTATCTTAAATACAGAAAGGGTATGCAAAGAGGCATGCGGTGATTTTGGGGGGTTTAAATCACTTACAGGCACTACCCAATGCATCTTTAGACAGAAAAAATCATACTTATCATAGCATTACTCAGACCGTTTGACTGGCTGAGGGATTCTAGGACGTTTTCCTGTCTAAATGTGCATTGGGATATACTCTCAATGGTTGAAAATGACTATGATACTCTAGATGCTCTCCCTTAATATCAAAATTAATATACATCATGAAAGCAGCTGGGAAAATTAACACATCCTTCCATACAAATTACCAAGTCCCCCGGCAAATTTCTTTTACTCTTATATCTAAGCAGGCTAACGTTTCCTTGACACAATATTCAAAAAAAAACCTTTTTTTATTCCAGTAGCAAAACACTGCCGCCAATCGGGCAAGATGCCATGAGCTTTCTACTCTGTGGCGCCCTTCGTAGGATTACCACCTCAAAGGCTCTCAGTTAGCACACTACAAAAATACAAACGTCATTTTAAAATACAACCAAAGCAGCACAGCTTTTTTCCTTATAAAATAAACTACAATGGATTTTTTGTTTAAAGGTGTGGCACTTTTTTGTCGCCTAAACCCTGAGGGAAAAAGTTAATACCACTGAAACCAAGCCACTTTTCTCAAAATACATACTGCAGGTGATTTTTATAAAATGATTCTTTTTAAAAAGAGTAACTTGTGAAGTTACCGTCTACAAGGTCTTCGATAAAAAAAAGAACACTTTCTTAAAAAGGGAAAGAATCGCCTAATTTCCCCCAGGAAAGTCATATAAAATGCACCGGGCACATGCGCTAGTGACGGGAGGGACGCCACTTGCCCTCCCGGGAGCTCTCCCGCCGGCTGTCATAGTCGTGGCTCCAGCCGCCGTAGCTCCGGTCGTCGTGGCCATACTCATCCCGGCTCCCCCGGAAGTGATGCTCCGAGCCATAGTCCGCCAGCCGCTGCTGCTCCCGGCTGTAATGCCTGCCGTCAGCCTGATACGGGTGGGAATTCATCCGGCCCTTGCGTGGGCCCAGGGTGGGCTCTTGCCGCCACTGGGCTGGCGGGGCCCCCGGCGGGGGAAAGGGGTAACTCTTCTGGTGCCCTGGCAAAGCAAAACTGGACGGCTCCGCAGGCAGGGAGCCGTGCCTCCCGCTGTACTGCGACGGCTGCCACATGGCGCTGTTCATCTGGGAGAGAAAGCAAGCTGGTTACGCAGGGACACGGCCAGGCTGCGCCGGCCTGGACGTCAGCACCTGCTTCGGCACGTCTGACGAGTTCAGAGCCAGGCTTCACCAAGCACAAGTCCCTCTGCTGCGGTGGCTTTATTTCAGGGGTAAGGGCCCCTCACCAAGGCTGAACCCCACAGGGGAAGCCCTGGCTCCTAATTCCCTGCCCACCTCCTTGAAACAAATAGCTGCATCACTTTACAAGACAGGCATTTCGAGGTCGGTCAAAAGGTATTAAGACATATATTGAGAGAATAGGTCTCATGATGTTTTATGAGAAAGCTGAAAACCAATGAGAACAAGATCACTGCTTTCTGCTGGCAGAGGTGACCCTCCACGGTGGCCTGAAACCAATCCTGTGCAATGCAGGCTTTCCTGATGTGGGCCCGACAGGGTATTTACAGCGGGGTCTCGGAGGTTTACAGGCGTGGCCTCCGTGAAAATGGGACACATGGATCGGTACAACACAGTCTTCCCAAACATGACAAAGTAAACTGGCTTTTCGAGAGAGATTGAGAGAGAGATTGAGAGAGATTGAGAGAGAGAGAGAGAGAGAGACTGAGAGAGAGAGAGAGAGAGACTGAGAGAGAGAGAGAGTGTTCCCCGCCAGCTAGTGCAGGCTTAGAGACCCTTTGTCCTGTTTCAGAGGTCTGTGTGGAGGGCTGCTTGCCTTGCCCTGCCTCCTTTACCTCTCCCACCTTTCGCTTTTTCAGCCTCCACCTGCCCGTTCAAGAGGCAGGCCTCCTGCAGGCGGCTACATGCTGCCGTGCTGACTGGTGGCTTGTTTGCTCAAGGCATCTGTTGTCCGCCTGCCAACTTTGAGAAAGCCTGCTTACATTTGCCACATCGTGTGTACACACGCCATTTCACACCGAGGGCCTAACCACCTCGATACAGAATTCTCTTGGGTCAGATTTGGCTAATTTACCACTTATTCCACCTTCCATTCTCTCCTTGGAACAGTAGTCAAAAGAGACTAAATGAAAGGAAGATAAAAGTGTGTAAAGTACATCTATTTTAGACAGCATTTTATTGTCTTCTACATTCGGTTGTAAAACACTTAGAAAGTGTCACCTTTTGGATGGTATAGAAATAAAACAAATAATGCAATGAACAAGCTTTAACTGGCTGCAACCATGAAAGAGCTGGCATGATTTGATGGCCACCGATTCTGACGGCTTTAAGACAAATGCACGCAGGAGAAAGCAACCGATGGCTCGACGCTCCCTCCAGCATTGGGGCAGAATGCTTCTGCATACCAGTTGCCATGGAACTGGACTGAGAGGGCGCCGCTGCATCCGTATCCTGCTTGGAGGCCTCCCATGGGCAGCTGGTTGGCCACGGTTTGAACGAGAAAAAGCCTCGGTCTGATGTATCATGGCGCTTCTTAAGTCCCAGTATCCATAGCAAGAGGTTGGGCCCTAGACATATCCTGCCCACTTAAGACCCATCAGTTCTTCACTGACACCGATGCAAAAAACCCTTACCACAGCTTGCCTTTGGAGGCTATCTGGAGACGAGAAGGACCTCTGCACAGCTGGGAACCCTGCTGACATGTTCTCTGTGTTCCGTTCATACCTGCTAAGTCAAGACCAGAAGTCAATCACACTACAGGTGACTCAGATCGAGGAATTTCACAGCAAGCACAAGCTATATTAAGAAAGAATTTGCCCTTTTTGCCCTGTGCACTGGGGAAAGGTTGTGTTCAACATTTCTAAGCAATGCACCTAGTCCTCTGCTCTCCACAGGTGTTTGTTAACAACCAGAGAATCATCAGGAACACCATAAACACGAGTATTATGATGTATCTGAAACATCCTCCAAGGAAGTGAAGGGGCTATGCGTAGCACTTTACCTTACCCTCCACAACCCTCTTTGTGCCGCATGGAGGGAGGGAGGGAGGGAGGGAAGTGAAGCTGTGAGGCCACGAGTAGGCCCAGGGCCTCTAACACCTGACTGGGGGAATCTGAATCCAGGCCCTCCTCGCTGTGGCCCGGCAGGCCACCCCACCTTTTCTGCCATGTGATGCTCTGCACCACCGCTCCAAGCATTCTTGACCGCCGGCCAGGCTAACTGCGGGGTACTGTAAGTCCAGTCCCACCTGGAGGGCAGGTTAGGGAACACCATCCAAGCAGACTCGGCGCAGTAGCATTTGATCCTCAAGAAGCTGCAGTCCTAAATGCACTTCCGTGGTTCAATAGAGAATTTATCAACTCACCTGTTGCTGGCAGGTATTGGCAGCTGTTGCGCACTGGAGGAGCTTCCATTGGGGGGTCCATGTTGAAAATGGGGCAAACTGCTGTCGTGAGATGCGTGGCTGCTCCCTAAAAATAAATGGCATTTCTAAGAGCAACTAAATTGAGTCACTTACACCCCAGGAAGAGAAGACACAAGGTGCTAATGGGAGGAAACCGTGGCACATTACTTAATTGGTTCTATGGTGTCACAGCAGAGAACCAGCAAGGTACAGAAACAGACTTCAAAAACAAGTGTCGCAACCTACTGGAATACCCAGTGGTGAAGATGCAATCGCAATGCAATACTGACTATCTAAGCCCGAGCTAATTGCAATGCCATGGTAAATGAAACCGAACTTTTCTTGAGCAAAATACCTTCAACACTAAACAATAAACGAGGGCAGGTTCCTTTCCTCTGTTTAAGGAGCAAGCTGCACACACACAGACCCAAGCCAAGCCTCAGCTCCAAAGTTACCTTCAGTGCTCAGGCTCAGTTAAGAAACAAACAAAAATACTAAAGGCAATGACCTGGTTCGCACACTACCCATCATGGGCTAAACAACCCACGGAAAAGCTGGCCCCTGCAGGATCAGGTGACCTCTTGCATTACATGCAGGAGTGTCTTTCTGCTCACTCAGTTTTTCATTTCTGCTTCTGCAAACAACCCATTTCTGGAGTTTGTTGTGATGTGCAAGACTGAAACTCTGGTTTGTTGAGTGGGGAAGAACACACAGAGATTTAATACAACTACACACAATGGATTAGGCCCCTGGGTTTACAAGAGCAGAAAACCAAGTTGGCAGGAGATAGTGCACTTGCTCACTTCCAGCAGCCTGTGGATTAAAAGGCTATGGCTGGTTATTACACGCAACTGTACGATTCTAGGTGTGTTCAGAGTGCATTACTCTGAGTAGACGCTCAGAATGCCCACAGTTCTGTTTCCAACGCAGTGATGTGATACGCTGCTTCTCAAAATGATGGCTTTGTCTCAAATAACTGAACTCTTCTGAAGTTCACTTCTGCATCTTCAGCTATATAATTTGCATTCATACAATACTGAATTATAAATTAATACATTTTAGAAGCTCCCAACAGCTTTTCTTCCAGCGATTGATGGACAAACCTCCTCTGCATTTAAGCATTTGTAAGATGCGAAGCAATACTATGATGCCCTGAGAAACATGTTCTGTGACAATTTAATCCAGTGTGGATTATCAACAAAAAGGTGTGCTAACAACTGACACACCAGAATCTTAAGCATAAAGGAAGATGACTGTACCCTTCCATTTGCCTAAAACATCTAAACTGGTTTAAATAGGTCATAGATACCTGATCGAAACTGAATTTTGAGAGGTCTCCCAAAAAGTTTGATCCCATTAAGTAGACTCATGCCATAGGGGACAGATTCTTCATGTTTGAAATTCACAAATGCAAACTGCTTTGGTTTCCCATCCCTGTCCTTCGGGATCTTTACTTTAATGACTGGGCCTGCCTGCAAACCAAGGAACAAAACAAAATGTTAAATAAAAACTAAAATAAAATGGAGTAACTTTCCCCTGAACCTTATTTAGCTTCATACATCTGTATTTCAATGTAAACTTTTACACAGAGCAGTGCTTGCTTGCATTCAAGTACATAACCAATTGATCGTAAGAGACAGCAGCAACCTATTCAATAGGTGACATGTTAGTTTTATTTTCCAAATAAAAGAGAGAGAAAACCTGGAAAGCCAAAGGTTGTCTTATCCTTGGCAGTGGGATGGAGGTGGTTCAATTAAGTAATGGACACACCATAAAGGTGAGGGAAAGACCTTGATACATTAACCCTAACCCAAAACTCATTAAATAAGATATAAAAATCACAACAGCATAAAAGTACATGTGTCTCTAGAGCCTTCAGCGGGGAAGGAAAAGTTTTCAGTATTCTCCAGGGGAGAAACTAGTTGTGAATTTAGCTAACAGGCTAAACTGTAAACATTTATTGTAAACTCCCTCCATTCAAAAACATGCACACAGAAAAGCAGGCTAAACCCCATTCTGCACCACAGTTTGGACACCCATGCTTCAAGTATGAAATGAGTACTGAAATACTCAGGCCATCAAGCCAGACTCACAGCTCAAAGATGGGAAGCAGCATCCATCTTTCTGCTGTTCTCAGTCGTTAGCATTCACATTTTGGAGGAAGAAACACACACACTTGGACAGCCAAAGGAATCCAAAAGACTGACTTGATTCACACCTAATGGCAGTGAATCCTACGTCAATTAACCCATGGCTTGCCTGCTCACATGCCACCACTGTTTGAATACACAACCTCTAATCAGTCAGATGTAAGTTGTTCTGTGATATGGGAACGTGGGCACTACAAGTTAAACCCAAAATTAAGCTATTATAGTGAGTATCGGAACAAATACAGCAGCATGACCCATAAGTAGGTCTGAATGCCACTCCCTCCCACGCTGCAATAGCTTGGCATTGAGAAGAATCCTGCCTCTAATTGCGGAGGCCCTACTACAACATGACTGGGAAGAACTACTGATGGGGTTCAGGCGGATTCCTGTTCTCAACATGGGGAGAGGAGGAGGAACCTGAGAACTACAAGCCTCTTACTCTGAAAAAATTCTTGAACAGAGTATAAAACAGTCAGACGGCGAACACCGTGAAGGCCATGGCAGTGAGTGCCCACGTGGACTGCAGGGCAGCACAAAAGTGCAGTAGCGGCAGCAGGAGCAATCTCTCGCTGTCAACATGAATTTCTCAGGAACAAGTCCTGCCGGACGGATCTCGCCCCGCAGTTTGCTCGCGTACGCAAGACCCGGAAATCGCCGTGTTATCCGAAGCCGGCCCGGTCCGGGGCGCGGCTCTCGCCTCAGCCGCATGCGAGCCACGCACGGCCCCCGGCCGAGCCCGCGGCGCCTGCGCTGCCCCCTTCCCCGAACCTGGCCCGGGGCGCCGCGCGAGCCTCCCGCAGCGCGGCCGCAGCGCCCCGCACCGTGCGGCCGAGGACCGCCGCGCGCATCAGCCGCGCCTCCGCCCGGGCGGCGGGTCTCCCGGGCTCCGGGCAGCGGGAGGCCGAGCCGCCGCCGCCGGCCGCCCGAGGCTTGACCTTACGGGCAACCCTACGCGAACGCCGCCGCCGAGGAGCCCGCCGCTCCGCGCGCCCAGCCCCGGCCGCGCGGCGCCTCTCCGGCCCGGCTCCCGGGAGCCGGCGCCGGGCGGAGCAAGGCAGCCGCCCCAGGCAAGGGACCCGGAGCGGCGAGGCCTAACCGCGAGGAAGAGAGCGAGGCCCGCGAAGCCAAAGGACGGGGCGCTCTGGGAATGCGCAGAGTGCCCGAGCGCGGAGGGAGCCGGCGCCGGCGCAGCCCTGCGAGGTAGGCCGAGCTGCCCGCGCCTCTGCCGCCACCAGCGCGCCCGCCCGCCCGCTCGCCCGCTCGCTCGCTCGCTCGCTACCTGGTGGAAGAGCTCGAAGAGCAGCTCCTCGGTGACTTTGGGGTCGAGGTTGCCCACGAAGAGAGTCCGGTCCGCCTCGGCCGCCGCCGCCCCCATCGCCTCCGCTCGCCGGCCGCGCCGCGCGCATGCGCGGAGAGGCCCCGCTCCGCCCTTGCCTTCAAGTCCCCCGAATGCGCAGGCGCCGGCGCCGCTCCGGGCCTTGCTAGTTGTAGAGTCGCGGCCGGCGCTTGCCCGTACTACTGCCAGCCTTCGCTCGCTCAACTGCGCAGGCGCAGCACGCCTGGGTCGCGCGTGGCCGTTGGAAGCCAGGGATGCTCCGCGGGGCGCCTCGCCACGTGGGCAAAGGGGCGATCCGCGGGGCGGCGGCTGCGCGGCCCCCCGACTGCCCTCTTCGCCGCGGCTGAGCCCAGCGCGCGCTGCATCAAGCCGGTGAAGCAGAAATGCGGGCAGCACTCCGCGTGCCCAGCCTGTTTCGTTCAGGCAGGATATCAGGTACAAAACAGGAACAAAACGCACTTAAAGGGCGGAAAAACCTCTCTGCAGTTCTCGATGCCTTTAGCCCCCCCTTCTGTTTTCCCGTTTATCTGCTGCAGGCAGTTCTTCCTGTGCTTTTGACTGTGAAAGAATTTGATTCACTCTTCATCTAAAATGTACTTTCTCCAGAACTTGCTCTGGCTGTTTGCAAGCTCGCAGTGTGCAGCGTTAGCGCGGTTTCCAGAGGCGCTCATGCAAAAAGCAACTGCTGGTCTCAGAGAAATTCCAGTGTTGTAAACAAAAACGAAAGTCCACCATCCAAAAGACCCATGAGTTAATTGTGCAAGAAAATGCTTTTAGTTTTCTAGTCCACATTCTCCTGGAGGCTGAGGGGTCAGGTTCCATACACAGTCAAATGTAAACATAAGTCAGCATAAGGTAAACATTTGGAATAAAGACCCCTGCTGAACTTTTGCACTGCTTGTATCAGTTCCCTGAAACAGTTTAATTTTAGCCACTAGAACTCACCCTGGGTAGGCAGGTCTGACAAGAAACTGATAATAGCTGGGCAATGATTATGCTTCCAGAGAAAGAACGAGTTCATTGGCCCGCAATTCTTGACTTCTCAGAAGGATGATATGTGGATGGCCATGGTCCAGGAGGTGAATCATGTCTCTATGATACAACAGTGTTTTCCAAGGCACCGATTACGCCAGACACGGTTTCTGACAGCCACAAGGTCTGATCATTGAACTGGCCTGATTCCAAGTTTTATTGCCAGGCAAAGGATGATGGGATTTGGGACCCAGTGTGCAGGGAGGGGAGGTTTACACCTTCCTTCCTTCCTTAACCAGGGTCCTCCCAGGAATCAACTGCCCACAGTAAAGCAGCACCCACCCCCCATTGCCTCCCATAGAATGATTTCTTTCTCTAAGCTTAACTGTCACAGGAGAGGAGATTTGGGGGAAGGCATGATAACCTGAGGAGAGGGGATAGTCAGCTCTTCCATCCTCAGGCACAATCTCTCTTGAAAATTGCCCCCATGTTGTAGGAAACAGGTTATTATGCATTTGGCGGAGAAAGTAGCCCCTCCTTCATAGTAATAGAATCGAATGAAGCTGGTTAGCCATCAGGATCGAAAAAAATACGGTACATGGTCATGAAGTCCTGCTTGTGGAGAGCTACCAAGATGTGGTGACTGCCATTGCCTCCGGTAGCCCTTTAGAGGGATTGGACAAAGCCCAGGAGGAGTTCTTATCCATGGTGCCAAGGTAGAGCTCCCATGTTCAATGGCAGGAATCCAGACACACACTGCTGGAAACAGAAGGCTAGATCTGATGCGTGCCAGGCTTAGCAAATGCTGGCAGGGTTCTTCAGACATTCTTATGAAAATCCAATGTAGTGTTCAATATTCAACCAATATTCAACCGAGCCCCATTATTTCAATGGATGTTTTATTCAGTTACAACCTCCACAGTAGATTTGCTTTAGAATCTTAACACAAGTAATTTACAAGCATATTGATCTGATTCCAAACCACATGACTTGATGGGTGAACAAACTTTGAGTCGTACGCAATCGTCATATCCCAAGTATCAACAAAAGCCACATCCAAATCCTGGAAAATATCCTTCAGTGCAAGGTACTGGGTGTAGCCATGGAGGTCCCCAAGCCGCTCATGGTCTACAGTCAACTCCCGGATGTTCTCTCCCTTGATCATGACTCGTGTGTCCGGGCTTCTGTGGAGAAGGCGCTGGATCGCTCTCCGGACATTAAGTGTCCTTCGAATGAAGAACTCAATGGGGAAAGGGCGGAAGTGCTGGCCGAGGGAAATGACAACAGCCGTGTTCTTCTCACCGGCCACCGTGTCGATATCCCGAGCGACGTAGCTGTGCTCTTTCACTGAGTACTCCAGGGAGCCAATGTACGGGTGGCCGTGCTTCTTCCACTGGATCTGAATGTTTCCCGCGATGTCCACAGCAATAAGCTTCTGGGGTTTCCCAAAGGAATGGGTGTCAAGGTACTTAAGCACTAAGTGGGAACAGGAACAAAATCAGAGACAGCGCTGTGGTCGTCTGATCTCTGCTTTGGGCTGTAGCAGGCACTGTTTTTTTATTTCGGTGCAAAAGCTTCCACCTGCTGTGTGACCAGCTGAGCTCACCCCTCCCCGGTTGGCATTTAATGCCAGTAATTTCTCTGAATGCAGCAAGCTTATTTTACAGGATCTCCCCTCACTGCAGAGACCTCCCATGCAGCCAGGGCAAACATCTTCCAGAAGTTGGCTCTCAGCGAGAGCCCTTCCACCCACCTGTCCATGGAATGGGTGCCCCTTTTCGTTCCAACAAGAACTTGACCAGGAGGATTGCAATGAGAAGAATACCGCCTACAGCCACCTGCTAGTCTTCCTTTAACTGGGGCCACTGAACTCTGCCACTTTTGCCTGGCACTGCTGTTGTCTAAGGCAAACCTCTAGAATAGTCTCGCAGCAATGGGATCGGTTATAGCATCCATTGATGCCATTCAGTCGAGCAGCTGCCCCAAGCCCACCAAAGACAGGCTGGAGAAATTATATGCAGAAAGGAATTCTGCATTTCAGGAATCGAGCAGATATATACGACAGGCACAATGCTATGTTCTGGTATCTCTAGGTCGAAACACATACCAGATATTCTGTCTGCAAAATTCTCCATCCATTGCCGTAGAGTCGAGTCTCCCATTAAGTAAATCGCCTTTCCTTTCAAGCAAGTGTAAATTTGTTCCAGGCTGTTGGAATTGTTCTTGTTGCAGAAAACAGGTTGCCACTGGTTCTGCCACACAAAGCCACTGGGAAATGGGGAGCGCATCCCAGCCCAACATTTGGTGCTTACCGTTGTCTTATTACCTGGTGAAAGAGAAACAAGCAATGAGTCACTAATGACAAATAGTGACTGCAGGATTGTGAAGGAGCTGCAGTGAAAGGACAGTGCAGATGGCTATTCAATGCCTGAGAAAACCAGGGAAGATCTTGGAGCCCCAACAGCAAAGGAGCCACTAGGTGAAGTTTCCACAGGTTCTACACCTGAGGAACAAGGTGTGGAGCATGACAGAAGCTGACTTATGGAAAGATTTTGGGATGGAATATCTTCGTCACCATGAAAAAAATAACCATCATGATACAATGTGGTATCCTGCTTACATAAAAAGAGCTATCCTAGTTACTAGTAAACTAGTAATGAGTAAAAGCATCAATAAAGAAGTAGCAGGGTTAATAAAAATATTTTTGACCATTTTCCCAAGCAGACGAATGATTGGGTTTAGGGGAAGAGCCTGCATTGCTAGGTTATCCTGGGCGTAGGGCAGTGGTGGGTAAGTCGATGTCCCCCAGATGTTTTGAGGTGCAATTCCAAGAAACTGCAGCCAGCCTGGCCATATCTGATCATGGGAGTTGTGGGCCAAAACATCTGGCAAGGCCAGAGTTGCCCACATCTGACCTTATAGAAATGGTGCCCCAGGTGCTACCCAAGGTGTGATGAAAACTGACAAGTCCAACTCACTTTCACAAGGTAAAACATGAATGTTCCCAAACGTCTGAGGAATTTCAACTCCAACATTGGACCTTAAAAAAAAAAAAAAAGATGGACGTTGAGGAAAAGCCAGACAGAATATTGCTCCAGATTCTTGGAAGAGAGCAGATTAGAAATTGCTCCCACAAAAAAAAAATATAAAATTTCTTGTTGTGAAAAGAAAATGCTAAATGTGTATGTATATGTAATTAAGAATTTACTGAGTGAAATTAGGTAATAATCATTAATTATATTAAAGGGAAGATATACAGAGGTGTAAGCAGGTTCACAATGAATTGTAGGTAGTGGATAACATTAATTTGCAAGGAATTTGCATGATATCTAATGAGCGAATGTCAGACAGAAATTTGAGGGGCGAAGTATTGCAAGAGTTGATGACTGGAGTCAAGCGTTAATTGAAGAATGGCAAAGAGTGAAAGTTGGTGATTTTATTGCCCAAAGACAGAAGTGGTTTTGGGATTTCCTTTCATCAGTGAAACAGCAAAAAGAGCACAGATGTCAAGAAGTTTGATATACATCTATAAAGAAAGAATAGATTTCGTTAGTTGTTTTTGAGAAGGGAGTTGTTTCCTATGTGATTTAAGCCACTTTGGAATGATTTAATTCTAAGGGATTTTTAAAAATTTAATCAAGACAGTGAATCTAAAAATATGCTGGACTGTCAGTTAATCAAATAACACTGTAGACACTGACTGGATTCACACAACCCAACAAGCAACCCTGTGTGGTCATCATAATTCACACATTTTACTGTGATCCGCCTGACCAATAGCCAAGTGGTTTTACTTTGTTACGGTTTATATCCTTCCTCAGTCCTTCTTCAGGTGACCTGCATTCCATCAGCCACTGCGCCCGAAATTCATCCGGAAGGTGCAGTGGCCGGAGTCGCTCCCGCAGTCGCAACTCTTTCCAGAGGGCTCTGGAAGTCGCGTGGCAGCATGGTGAAAATCAGAATCCTGAATTCGGACAACACAACCAACTGTGGTGGTGCAGAGAAACTATACAACAAACCATTGATTCTTATCATGGTTTCTAAAGGCCAAATTGCCGTGGTGAAATGGTATGGATTCAGACCATAGGGAAGACGAA